ACACATGACTTTCTACTCTTTTTTTAGTGATATAACTACACTGATTTAGGTATAAATAAGTGCAGGTCAAAAACGTCAAATTTACTGCGGTATATTTTGTTTGGTAGTAGTTTGTTCTAATTGTTATGTTTTAAGTTCACGATGTTTGATATTTTATATCATAGCTATACGAAGAAGAAAGAAAGCGAACACCATGGTAACACTGCTGAACATAGGACACCCGTGTGAATCTACCCAGCTACAGTCCTCATCGGCTTCTGTAGTTGGTTGCGCAGATGCAGTTGAAACTGTCTTGGTGTTTGTACTTGGCTGTTCAGTAGTGGTGGTGCTTTCTGTGCTGGTTTCTTCAACAGTCGTTGTCGGTCTTTGTGTGGTCGTAGGCGCAATCGTAGTCGCAAACCCAACTTGAACGTTACACAGATCCGTGTCGCAGCACTGCACCCGGCAATTTTTTCCGCCAAAGGAGCAAAATGTGCTATTGGCGCTGCATAAGGCTTTACTTGTGCAACTTTTGGCGTAGACCCTGAAGCCTGTTTTGTTTTCATACGAGAATGTCCCACATCTGTCCAGGCCTTGCCTGGTGCAGTCCTCTTTTTCTTTCTTTTTGTCACAGATGTCAAACGAAACTGCACCGTTCCGACACATCCAACATTCAAACGATGACGCTACATGGATGCAAAGTCATTAGTCAGTACATAAAAGCAATGCTATTCACGAGTGATGAACAATTATTGAGCACAGACACTTCTTTCCATATGGATTTCCTACAGAGTTCGTACAGGCACGTTAATTCCCTTAGAATGACAATCAACAATCAAAACACTGCAGACTTCATTTTTAGACAAAGAGAGAAGTTTATTCACGCACACTTGATGTTTTTCGCTAAAAGAGGCAAGGGTGAAAGAGGGCACTTTTTCCACATGGATTTCCTGCAGTGCACGTACAGGCATGTCGTTATGATAAAAACAAAATGAAAATTTCAAATACATGCAGAAATTCCGAAAGAAGTCCTCAAAACTTCCAATGATTGGAAAGTGATTAAATTGAATTGAAATAATAATCCAGATCGAAAAAAAAGCAAGTATTTTTGTGAATGCCATTGTTAAATGGTACATGAATAGTCATTTACACATACTACAACTATAGTGACACTTAGAAAAACTAGACTTGCCATTACAGAACTGACAATAAAGATCACTGTTTTCACACGTTTCGTTTTCGATATCCCATGCAACTCTGCTTATTGTATTAAGTACAAAAAAAACTTAAAATAATCCTACCTTGAACAATGCATAATAGAATTAGAGCCATAACCGCTCTAAAAGAMACGCCATTGTCGTTTGAGAGCATATTTTCCGCCTTTTAAAACTACCGCTGAAGTGTAATGGACTCGTCGTTCGCAACCTAGTGCAGCGCAACCCCTTGCGCTACTTTGAGTCGGTCGTCAAGCTAGCAAGTCTGTCTGTACTAGTACATGGGTCGAGAGATCTTTGTACTTTTTGTTTATTTTTGCAAATACCGATGTAGATAACACCGTCTTACATAAACATAGGTAAAAATARCCTTGTAAAAAACAAATGATCTTTTTAGATTAATAGTAGAAATAAGGAAATTGCCATTTTAGTGCTAACAAAAATTATAGTTTGAAACTTATTTTTTGTTTTCTTTTTCTGCAGAGCAAAACCATGGCKATGTGCACCCTTGAYATACCGACTACAAACTTGCGTTTCGTTGCGGCTAACGCATAGTGTCCATATATGATTAGTTTTTATGATTGTTTCGTCTTGTTTTGGTTTCGAAAGAGAATCAACAACAACTCAAAAAGGTTTTGGACTCGAATGAAATGATTACGTTTCGATACCAGACCACGATTCGAGCACTTGCCTCAACACAGTTCCGGCTCGGATATCCCTTATATGTACGTATATCATATCCACTGTTAAGACTGAATGCGCTTTCATTGCTCAGTAAAACATCATTTTTTATCAGTGTTTCTAAAGCACTAGCTCCAGGATCAAAAGGACATATCTACACTATTAATGTAAAAGCCATTGTATTCTAAACGTCTCGTTAACACTCACGTACGTTCCACGTGATTAAGTTACGTAAACGCAAGCAGTGTATACATAGTTAAACTTCCAAACATACCAGAAACGATATGAACAAAAACAACAGACTCATTGTCAATGTCGTACTAGATGAATCAACCCAGTCACAAAAATCATCATCAGAACCACCCAAAGCATCTTGGGAAGGGTTGACTTGTGTTGATTTSAGCTCAGTTGGGAGAGTTGTACGTTTTTCAGTCTTCAGGTCCTCGGTTGTGGCAGGAGGCCTTGTTTCAGTGATAATTCTTGTTGTTGTTTGTGGCGTAGCTGATGATTTTGCCGTACTAGATTGTTGTACCTTCGTTGGCTGTTGTGTATTGTTAGGTTGTTCTGTTGTAGTTGGCTGTTGTGTAGTGGTGGGTTGTTGTGTGGTGGTGGGTTGTTGTGTAGTCGTAGGTGCTCGCGTTGTAGTTGGTTGTTGTGTAGTGGCAGGTTTTTGTGTAGTGGTGGGTTGCTCTGTTGTAGTTGGTTGTGTAGTGGTAGGTTGTTGTGTTGTAGTTCGTTGTTGCGTAGTGGTAGGTTGTTGTGTAGTGGTGGGTTGTTGTGTAGTGGTAGGTTGTTGTGTTGTAGTTGGTTGTTGTGTAGTCGTAGGTTTTTGTGTTGTAGTTGGTTGTTGTGTGGTCGTGGGTTGTTGTGTAGTCGTAGGTTGTTGAGAAGTGGTTGGAGCCAGTGTTGATGCAAACCCAACTTGAAAGTTACACAGATCTGTGTCGCAGCACTGCACCCGGCAATCTTTCCCGCCAAAGTAGCTGCAAAACGTGTTATTGCCGCTGCATAAGGCTTCACTTGTGCAACTTTTGGCGAAGATCCTGAACCCTGTTTTGTTATTATACGAGAATGTGCCACATCTGTCCAGACCTTGGCTGCAAGATTCTTTTACCTTATTTTGGTCGCAGAGTGCAAAAGACGCTTCGCCTCGTGGACACATCCAACAGCTGAAGGAAGAAACTAGTCAACAATAAAATACAATGAGTGAAAACACTTTAGCTTTCAGGTTTTGCTATTTTAATTGTTGTAATCGATCTCGTGCAGTAGTTATATAATGCCGCCTCTGGCTCACTTTTTCAAACTCAAACCAGCTAGCCACCTGCACCGTTTAAAAACCCCATTTCTAAACTTTTTTAAATCCGCGATATAACTACTTGTATATCTATTTTTCTTAAATCATTGAGATTCTTGGTTTTTATTTGTGATTATATTTACATTATATATAAGGATGAGTGTGAATGATGAAATTAATATACTTGAGGCTCTTAATACTCTTAGCAGAGACGATTTTACTGATATATCTGCTAGAATTTCAGGAATTAAAAAGAAGGCAACTGCTATGAAAGGGTTTTTAAATACATATGAAATAGAAGGAGGAAGGATAGCTCCAAATATATTTCTAGAAAGGAATAAGCGTAAGGTTGTTAATCTAATAAATAGAAAAGAAAAGCCTACCAAATCTAATATAGTTCTAATTTGCGAATTCTATAAAAGAGGTAATGAAGGAACTGTTTATTCGCACGGAACTTTCAGATCTAAAATAGAGATCATAAGCGATTCGACTAATATTTCTGATATTTATGATAAATGGACAGAAGATATATTAGAAAGTTTCAGTAATTATCAAAATGCAGGATCTGGATGGATTTTTAGAAAAATAATAAGCCTTGAAATTAACATTGATACATTCGCGCCTATATCAGGAAGTTCTTATTTACCTCTTCCTAAAGAGTTAATACCAAAAAAGGCAATAATTAACATGAATAATAAAGATAACGAATGTTTCAAATGGGCTATAACTCGAGCTTTATATCAATCAAAAAAGGCTAATTTAGAGCGTGTTGATAGCAAATTAAAGGAAGATTCGAAAAATCTTAACTGGAATGGGTTAGCATTCCCAGTAAAAATCGAAGATATCTCAATATTCGAGGATAACAACCCATATGGCATTAATGTATTCGCATACAATGGCGAGGTATATCCTCTAAGAATAACTAAAAGCGAAAATAAGGTCATTAATCTGCTTATGATCTCTGAAGGAGGTAAAAACCATTATTCTTGGATACGAAACATGTCTCGCTTATTAAGTAGGCAAATCAATAATCATCAACATTATAGATTCATTTGTAATAGATGTCTAAATTCATTCAAGTCTCAAGAATCTTTAAATAAACACAATGAATACTGTCAAAAGTCAGATGCCATAAAAATGTGTCTTCCTAAGAAAGGTGAAATTCTGAAATTTAAAAATCATAATCATTCAATGAGAGTTCCATTCGTAATATACGCGGATTTTGAATGCTTCACAAAAAAACTAGCTTCTTGTCAACCTAATCCTGAAAACTCGTATACTGAAAAGTTTCAATATCACAAACCTTCAGGATTCTGTTATTATCTAAAAACAGTAAATGACATATATGAGCCTAAAATGATATCTTATACTTGCAAAGGTGATGAAGATGTAGGTCAAAAATTCGTTAATTCAATTGAGAAAACAGTTAAGAAATTATATTCAAATATTTGGTATAAAAAGGTCAAAATGACTAAAATGGATAGAGAGCATTATAAAAATTCGAAAATTTGTCATATTTGCGAAGG